ATATATCAATTATGTAATAATATAAAACATAAATTATATATAATATATATAAAAATATATTTATAATATATAACATACTATCATATGATAAAATAATTTATAAAAAACTATATATAATATATACATAAATAAAATATATAATATTTATAATAATATGTCATCATATAATAAAATAAGTTATATAAATTATATGTATGTAAATAAAATATAATATAATATGTATATAATATATAATATAATATAGTAATTATAATATAATAAAATAATATAAATTATATATAATATATATAAATAAAATATAATATAATATTTAAAATATATAATATAATACGTTATCATAAAATAAAATAAGTTATATACATTATGACATATATATATATATATATATAATATGATATAAAATTTATTATATATAATATATTAATTACAATATAATAAAGTAATATAAATTATATATAATATATGTAAAAATATATTTATAATATATAATATACTATTATATGATAAAATAATTTATAAAATCTCTATATAATATATATATAAATAAAATATATAATATTTATAATAATATGTTATCATATAATAAAATAAGCTATAAAAATTATATGTATGTAAATAAATATAATATTTATAATATGCAATATAATATATTAATTATAATATAATAAAAATAATATAAATTACATATAATATATATATAAATAAAATGTAATATAATATTTATAATATACAATATAATATATTAATTATCATTAATAAAATAATGAAAGTTATATAAATTATATCATATGTAAATAAAATATGATATAATATTTATAATATATAATATGTATTAATTACAATATAATAAAATAATGTAGGTACATTATATATAAATAAAATAAAATAAAATATTTTAATATATAATATAATATATTAATTATCATGTAATAAAATAATGCAAGTTATATAAATCATAACATATAAATAAAATATGATATAATATTTATAATATATAGTATACATTAATTATAATAAAATAAGTTACATAAATTATATGTAATATATATAAATAAAATAAAATATAATATTTTAATATATAATGTATATTAATTATCATATAATAAGTAGTATAAGTTATATAAATTATATATAATATATATAAATATATAAATCAAATATCGTTAACGAAAATGAAAATAGAGCTCTAAATTTTACAGATGCTGAAAAAAATATCCTTCTTTAGACTGTTGGGGACGTTTTGTTCTTCTGCATAAATTCTTTTATATACGATCAGTCATGTAATCCTATAAAGACATAGGAGTGCCGCTTGTACTGCAGCCGGAGCAATAGTTGATGCGTCTCGGGCAAGAGAGCCTAATGGAAAACATCTCCCGCCTGAATTTCTGTTCAGAATTGTCATTTTCTTAGACAGGTTGCTCTACCAAGGCTGATACGCACAATCTACCATACTATTTTTTTAAGCATTTCACCCAAAGCAAGGCGGGAAACTACTAGGACGCAAGGGGTTACAGAAAGTTTAGAGCAAGATCAGATAGGAGTGATAGAAGAAAGGATGAGGGTAGTGGATAGATCAAGGCAACTGGAGATGTCGATTGACATTACACTTGAATAGCTGGAGATTATAGCTCACAGGGAAACAGGAATAGGGAAGGGAGTTCCACAGGCGAGAGGTGCGAGACATGAAGCTATTAGAGTAGAAGAGACGGCTACATTTAGGAGTTTCGACAGTGAAGGGGTGAGAGCGGGATGCCAGCCTCGTAAGGCGCTGGAACTCATGACGTCTGGGAACCAGCGAATGCAGTTCCTTGGAGCAATTTCCATGAAAGTATTTCCTATGACCTTGTTTATTCCGCTCCAGCATCGATTTGAATTGAAAGTAATCCTTTTCTTAAAGTTGTTGCTCTATCAAGGCTAAGGAATTTTATATTTGTTCAATAGATTCGTGATAGTATGATAATAGTAACGTTGAAATCAACTGGTAACATTTGGCATTCATCAACTGAACACTTACTGCAGTTAGCATAGAACGTTACATTCAACCATTTCAACCGTAAGATGATGGGACCTTACCGCCAATCTAGTACTGCGCTTAAATTTATAAATTCTATGTACCAAAGAGGAAAGGTCACCAGAGCAATTACAATGAAAATATTTACAGAAAAGGCGACAGGGAAGCGATTTTACGGCAGTGGGAAAGTGACTGAAGCTGAGATGACAAACCAATAACATTATGATTAAATTTAATATTAAAGAAAAATAGATTCCATATTTACAAACTACGGAACGATATTAAGATGAACAGTTAGGAGAAGCATAATAAATACGCCCCGGTATTCCAAACTCATCAAGACAACAGAAATGTTGTTCTACAGAAGGAATATCATGAGAGTAACAAGGTCGTTTTAATAAAAAATGTAGATATGACGATAAGCTGCATCCGGCAGTAAGGCTTCTGATCGGAAGACTGGAGGTCTTGAGAAGCGTGAAACCACTTTTAAACTGTTGTTGTTCCCAGTTCCACCCTGACCCGGAGTGGTAGCACCTGTTGGGGTCCCAGCTATGGGCAAATAGTGAACCCCCCCAAACACTATGGAAGCATAAAAATTACATTTCTATAGAAAAAAATACCAGCAATACATTTTTATATAAAAAAATTACCAACAATACATATTTGTAGTAAACATTATCAACAATATATTTTCAAAGCAGAATTACTAACAATAAATTTTATCACACAATACATTTTATCAGTAGCTGAAGTCATCAAATTATGCTCAAAATATATAGATTCCGGTATTATATAACCCATAGAGGTGTTGATATGCCGCTAAACAAAAAATCAAATTAATGGATAATGGAAACAAAAGGGACGCCTATATTTGGAATGAAATGCGAAAACATTTCCAACGACTTTCAAAATCTCCTTACGGACACATGGCTCTCTGGATAAAAGCGTAGAATGAAGTAATCAAAAAGTGACTTTATCCGAAGACTTGTGTGTTTAATACCTGGCTACAGCGGAAGTGGAGAAAAACCAATTGCCATCCAAGGCTATAGAACCCCGTATGCCCTGCTATTTATCCATAGCTAGGGGGAGAAGAAGAGGATTTATGAAACCTTTAACCAATTAGCACGTAAGTGAATGTAATGGATTCGACTTGAATTCGAACTCGGCTCTTTCGATTTCTCATTCCGAGGTCTACCACAGGTCTTGAATGACGGAGTCCTGAAGGCGGCCATTGAAGAGGACAGTAGGCTAACGTGTGGTGAACTTGCAAGACAATTCAAAGTTTCCGATGAAACAGTTAGACTTCACCTGCACAGCCTATGTAAGACGTATAAACTGAGCAAGTGGGTTCCACAAACGCTGTTGGAGGTCCACAAGGGACGACGAGTGGCAGCCTGAGTATCGCTGCTTTGTCGCCACCGTAACGCATCCTTATTCAATCGAGTGCTTACCAGTGATGAAAAGTGGGTTCTGTACGAAACTCCCAAGCGTTCCAGACATTGGTTGTCTCCTCAGGATGCTCTCCCTCACACCACAAGACCGCCTATGCACCCACGCAAGATTATGCTTTGTGTCTGGTGGACAGGTCGTCAAGTGGTTCATTATGAACTGCTACCAACGGGCCAAACGGTCAATGGAGACGTATACTCGCAGCAATTGAAGCGTGTGCAACAGGCATTGTGCCAGAAAGAGCCAACACTGGTGAATTGCAAAGGTGTGCTTTTCCTCCATGACAACGCCAGGCCGCATGTCGCGCGAGTGGTCAGGGATACCATACAGCAACTTGGATGGGAGACTTTGTGCCATCCACCTTATTAACCTGACCTTGCGCCATCCGATTTCCACCTCTTCCACTCCCTGGATAATCATCTTCGTGGGAAATCCTTCACCAATGAAGCAGATTTGTGCAAAGCCCTCACGGACTTCTTTGCGTCAACCCCCGAGAGTTCTACCGCAAGGGCATTGAACATCTAGAGACAGGTTGGCAGAAGGTGCTGCATGCCGATGGCGATTACTTCGAAGATTAAATATAAGTTACACATACTGGGATGCGTTTTTCTTTTTTTCGTTTAAAAACGGACAGAAGTTTTTTGGTTACCTTGTAATATATTGTTATAATTGTTCTATTTTATTATTAGTTATTATTGTTAATCTCTTATTGTGCCTAATAAGATCTACGGTAGGAACGAATCTTCTATCCGTCACATAACTTTTATTACAGTCTATATTGTTATAATTGTTCTATTATTTTATTAGTTCTTGTTGTTAATCTCTTATTGTGCCTAATAAGATCTACGGTAAGAACGAATCTTCTATCCGTCACATGACTTTTATTAAGCGTATTGTTAGAATTGTTCTATTTTATTTTTATTTATTGATGAAGGAACACGTCACACAGATGAAGAATTATATGCTATGTTCTTGTCTCCTTTATTTTTTTCCTCACTTTCAATTCAGAAATTCATTTCTCAGTAGTCCGTACAAGGAAACTGTTCTTATTTGGCTTCTAAACTAACCACAACAGGAAGACAATCTCCATTACTAATATTTGACATTTTATCGTATTCTAGAAATTCCACATTTTTACTTCAATACACTCCACTTATTTTTCAAGAAAAGCACAGCGACAGCATCTGAAGGACACAAGTCTATCAGCAAAAGCCATTACTCGACCGGGTATTGTGCGTGTTCTGGCGGCTATTGTGTTTCCTGTGTGTCTTTGAACAACCACGCAAAGATGTCTTTTGTACGCGTGTGTTGTCTGCGTCCACTCCAGCGGAAGTCATGACACCTGCGTAGTTGTCGTCTTAGCGATATGTCAATCAGTGCAACCAAGTACCCTGCCACCCGAGGTCTTTGTTTATCAACCAATCACGCTCGACTACACTGGAAACGGCGTCGCCAGAGTTATTTTCGCTTTTATATTTCTTTCCGACGAGCTTTTTTCTTTTCTTTTCTTTTCTTCCTTAATTCGTTATAAGTTTGTTACGTAGAAACACTGTTTCTCGTACAACCACCGAAGTTAAGCAACGTTAAGTCTAAACAGTACTTAGATGGGTGACCGCTTTGGAATGCCAGGTGCTGTTAACATGGATGCCACTTAATTCTATATAAGCTTGTCACATTGAAACACTGTTTCTCTTACAGCCACCGAAGTTAAGCAACTTCAAGTCTAGTCAGTATTTAGATGGGTCACCGCTTTGGAATACCAGGTGCTGTTGACTTGGATGTCACTTAATTCTATATAAGCTTGTCGCGTTGAAATACTGTTTGTCTTACAGCCACCGAAGTTAAGCAACGTCGAGTCTAGTCAGTACTTAGATGGGTGACCGCTTTGGAATACCAGGTGCTGTTAACTTGGATGTCACTTAATTCAATATAAGCTTGTCACGTTGAAACATTGTTTCTCTTACAGCCACCGAAGTTAAGCAACGTCGAGTCTAGTCAGTACTTAGATGGGTGACCGCTTTGGAATACCAGGTGCTGTTAACTTGGATGTCACTTAATTCAATATAAGCTTGTCACGTTGAAACACTGTTTCTCTTACAGCCACCGAAGTTAAGCAACGTCGAGTCTAGTCAGTACTTAGATGGGTGACCGCTTTGGAATACCAGGTGCTGTTAACTTGGATGTCACTTAATTCTATAAAAGCTTGTCACGTTGAAACATTGTTTCTCTTACAGCCACCGAAGTTACCCAACGTCGAGTCTGGTCAGTACTTAGATGGGTGACAAAAAACAGAAAGAATAATTCAATCCATATAATTTTGATATTTTCTTTCGCTGTTTGTCTTGAGCATTTATTTCTGAAGTTCCATTTAGCAGAAGCTGTAGCGACACGATATGGATTTTTCAGATTAAACGTACAAAGAAAAAAACACGAAAGAATGTTTCTTGGAACTGAAGATATTTTGACGCCATTTTACAGGATAAAGCTAAATTTGCCTCTATTTTTATTTTTAGATAATTTTACGTATTAAAAATATTAAATCACAAAATAATAAAGGAACAGGAAGGTGATAGTCGTCCCGATTATTGTTGGAGCACCAGTAATGACTGTAGATACTGGAAACCTGAAGAAGTATCGAGATTGTAAACATGACATGTGTTAATTAAAGCAGAGAGAACGCTTGAATTTCTGCTTGCCGAAGAAAAGAAGAAGAAAGAGTAAGAAGAAGAAGGAGAAGAAAGAAGAAGAGTAAGAAGAAGAAGAAGCAGAAAAAAGAAGAGGAAGAAGAAGGAGAAGGAGAAAGAAGAAGAGGAAGAAAAAGAAGGAGGAGAAATAGAAGGAGGAGAAATAGAAAAAGTGTAAGAAGAAGAAGAAGAAAGAAGAAGAAGGAGAAGGAGGAAGAAGAAGAGGAAGAAGAAGGAGAAGAAAGAAGAGGAAGAAGAAGGAGAAATAGAAGTAGAGTAAGAAGATGAAGAAGCAGATAGAAGAAGAGGAAGAAGAAGGAGTCAAATAGAAAAAAAAAAAAAAGGTTGTCAATAATGAAACCTGGGTGGTCACTGAAATAACATTTAAAATTCTTCTGGCCAGGAAAAATATCTGGTTTAAATTGGCCATCCAGAAGAAAAATATTCCTACAAAAATAGAGATTAGACTGACAAGTTCATTCCTTGTAATTTCTGCATTCATCAAAAATTTATAACTGACATTAATTCAGATTCCATTTTTCCTTAACACTTATTGTTAAGGAAAAATTAATTACTGGCTTGAAGTGACCATAAAAAAAAAAAAAAAAAAAAAAAAAAAAATACAGGGGAAAAAAAAAAAAACAAGGGAACAGGAAAAAAAAAAGGAAAAAAAAAAAACAAGGGAACAGGAAAAAAAAAGAAAAAACAAAAAAAAACAAAGGAACAACAGGAAAAAAAGAAAAAAAAAAAAAAGCAGATATGTGGTCCTGTTGACCAAGAAACACAAACAGAGAAAGATGATTTTTTTTTTTAGAATACTAAAGATTGTGAATTTTTTTCCTTCCCACAAAACAACTCTTGAGAAAAGAAGAAGAAGCAGAAAGAAGGTGGGAGAAGGAGGGTTCATCTGCAAGAAGGATGAAGAAGAAAGAAGATAACCTGATGAAGAAGGAGAAGGACTGGAAATAGACGAAGATGTACACAAGAAGAAGAAGCAGAAAGAAGAAGATGGTGAAGAAGCCCTTGGAGTGAACTGAGAAGATGCTGAGAGAAGACATAAGGAGAAGAAAGAAGACCAGGAAGAAAAGAATGGAGCAAGATGAAATAGAAGGGAGTTGGAGTAAGAAGACATCTCAAAAACGATCAAAGGGGGTTTGGACAACCGGTTTTTTCATAAGTTGACAGGCTAAACATATTTTGAGATTTTTGAAATTTTAGAAAAAGATTGAAATAAGGGTTTTGAATGAAAACTCTTCAGACCCTTTTATACTAATACCAACACAGGACTCCATAAGGGCTCTAGGTTGGATTACCTCCACGAGTTCTAAAAAAAGAGCATTAATGAAAAACCTGCCCGATTACATCAGTTCTCAACTTGATATCCATGCTGATGACATATAGGTCAAAATTATGTTGAAGGGTATTTTTTCCATTGGGAAAAATCGTTGGAACCCCAGACAAGGTTAAAAAGAAATGTTTTTTAAAAGTCAGAAAAATTGACCTGGCAAGAAGGACATTTAAAAAAACTGAAAACTGACTTTGTAATTTTATAAATATCAATTATCATTTTTCAAAAGATATTTTAAAAAATCAAAAATTATAATGTTTAAACAAATATTTTGAAACCAAACTTAACAACTTTTGTGGTAAAAGATGTAATTTGAAAATAAAACAAAGCAGGTTATAAACTTTTGGTTCTCTTGACATGTGATGAATGATATATTTATGAATTCCATGAGGCTAATTTGTTCTCGGAAGGAGAAAATCTGAAATAATTTGGAAATTTCAGGGAACAAATTATTGGTGTATTATAGCAATCTAAAAACTTTCTCGCTAGAAATTTTTTTTTTTGTAGTAGTGAGTTCGTTTCTCACTGGCTTGCCTGATGATGCTTTATGGAAATATATTTAAAAGAAATTAAAATAAAACTGTGAAGAGTGACATTAAATTTCATATTTCTTAAGAAAGGTATCTAATTAATTTATAGTACCTTTCTTATGTTTTAATCAAACGGCGCGAGAAAATACTATAATTTTATGTACATTTATTACATTCTACTGTTATTTGTATTTGAAAATTCATTGAATTATTAATTTTGATATTTCATTTATGGAAAAAGAGAACTTTCTGAGATTAATATAAAATAAGATCATATAAATTTCATAAGCAAATGATACTGACAAGAATGTACCTTGTCTGTTGAAATTGAAAATCAAATTAACTTCTCCTAACACGTTTCAAAAGTAAAGGCCTTAACATCAGGAGAACAATGCTAACCTCCAGGAAACATAACATAATTATATTCTGGTTGGTCTTCCGGCTTTTATGAATTGGAAAGATTATAAGCACAAAATTACATTTCTTATCTACTGGGTATCTTCTGATTTCAAAAGACAATTTCTTCGCAGATAAAAAGAAGACTTTATCAGGGAAATATAAGGAAACTTATGAAATTACCGTAGAGACTTTTAAAAATTTTAAAATATTTTAACAACTTAAATGGAAAACAAATTATAATCTTTGAAATAACAAATAATTGTATTAAAAATTCATTTTGGAACATAAAAAATTTTTTTGCTTTTAGAAAATATTGTCCATATTCATAAAAACAACTAAAAAGAAAAAAAAGCATTTGAAATTAAATAATATATTTGTTAAATTGAGTTTTGTATGTTACAATTCAGAGCTGATTTTCACAATTTCCTGTCCTTTCAATTAAAAAATAAAAAAAATCTTGATTTACATTCCTCAAAGCCCTGTTTTTTTAATTATTTAATCACTAAAAGTTCGTTCGTTCAATTTCTTCTGGTTTTTAAAATTAGTTATGGGGGTAATAAATGTTTAAAAAATATTTCTCATGGCCCATGACTTTCATAAAAAAAAAATTTATTTTAATAATTTGATCATCTGTGAATAGTTTCTAAAAGTTTCATTAACATCCGATAATTATTTCTATTTTTCTTCGATTTTTCAAATTAATTGTGTCATACTAAAAAACTTCAAAAATTGTCTATATTATTACTAGTCCTGATACAAATAGAAAAAAGGATTTTTAAATCAAAATTTAGAATGTTCTAAAAGAAGGAAAATTTTTAAAAATAATTAAAAAAAAACTTTGGTCTTTCCTCTTAATAATAACATAAGCATTTAGACAATATAATTTAGTTTTTGGTGAAGTTTGGCCTCTTTTCATCAAGCTATGCTCTTTTTTAAGCGATTCATCTTGCTGTTACCTAGGTTAGGACATCCTTTGAGACATTACTGCTACTGGAATCTTCATCATTCTTTGAGACCTTCTAACCAAGACTTTGTGCCGGCCATGAAGACCAGAAATAAGGATCCCACCTTATTTGATTATAACAGTAGTGGAAAGGGTTAAAACCACTATATACAACAAATCATATATAAACCAAATTGTTATTCCATCCATTTAACCAAGATTTTAACTTCAGAGTTAATTCTTTATTCCATGTCAATTCTTTTTGTGATCATGGCCCTCCTCAATTTCTGTCCTGTGGAGTTTTGCTCCATCTTGATTCTCAATCTGTGTTCAAAATCAACATAACAGAGGAGTGAAGGATCATCTTCACATAAATGCCAGCCAGATCAAGTGAAACCATACTTATCAACACAATACCAGCAACATAACAGAAACAACTTAATGTTGAGGAGTCAGCTAGATGGTAACCACAGTGGGCGGTCGGGAAAGTGGGTCCCATATCTTTTGGCCAAAATTACAAGATGAAATTTTTAATTTGGCCTCCTCATCAGAGGAGACATTATTCACATCTTAAACCAAATATCTCCTCAAATGTTGGAACATTTTTTGAGTGACCTATCTTTCTTAATCAAAGAATATTATGAAAAATTTATTAATCTCGTTAGGTCTACTGGTCATGTTTATTGATTTTTCAGTTGTCTTTAGTGTTTTCTCTTGGGAATACCATGTTCTATAATCTTCCTTTTTCTCCATATATCATGGGTAATGACTGATTTATTTGATTCTCTTGGGACAAAAGTCATGTTGTTCCACCCTTACTTTGGGAAGGTAGGCAGCTATTATCTCCGAGCTATGGGTAAATAATGGGATGGAATAATCCAGTTCTTATCATGTTAGCATAAAGGGCTTGATTCAGGACGGATATCACCAAAATGAATTTGACTGTTTCTAAGTACTCCCGTAGTAATATATGGACCATGGGTCTATGAATATTTAGATATACACTTTATGCATGTATGATATACAATATATTTTTTTGTCATCCTCAACTCTCTAATACATTTACATCTAGGAAGGTCAGTTGATCTACTTCTTTTTCCATTGTGAATTGTATGTAACAAAATTAATTACATCTAAAAAGTAAAATCAAGCATCTCAAGTAAAATAATTTTTCAAATGACGAAAATCTTTTCTCCTCACAGTGTATATCAATTCCGACTTTGGGTTGATTCCAGTAAAATGAAATATTCAAATGTAAAAATTAAAAAAAAAATGAATAGTTGAAAAACCAGTAGTTTTTTTTTATTATTTATTTTTGTTTTTTAAGATTATTTGATATTGACAAACAGGGAGGTGGAAGGTATTATGTCTTTCAAAATGACCTTTCATGTAATTTACAAACACTAGTCACAGAAATTAATGGTAATGATGATGGCTGATTTTAAGGGTATATACTGCATATACTGAAATATATAGTTGAATTTTATAATCAGGTTTTATAAAAGGGGGGCGTTTAAAATTTTTTTTGAATAGTTAAAATTATGCATTTATATGACCAGTTGTATATATATATGAAGGTAATTTTTTTCTGGATGGGTTAAAATCATAAAAAATTTAGGGTCATACTATAGTTGATTTATATACAAGTACATATGTGGTAAATACAATCTATGAATCATACCAGTACTATAAACATGTTTACTTACAGGGGTCCGACACTGTTTTTTTTAATGACACTTAATTTTTAAAAATTGTTTCAAGGTAGAACATTTAAAACTATTTCAAATTAGAAATTTTTTTTTTTTACAAATTTTCACATAACACAGGTGACAGTATTTTTCGGACATTGCAGAAACAATGCTAATAGTTTATGGCAGCACCCTTTTTTCAATCACTTCTATCAGTCTATCTTCATAATGTTTGTACATATTGATAATAACATCTCTTTGTGTTTCTAGCAGTCTATTTTAGCATCTTGTATGCGCTGCTGCCACAGTTCAGCCTCTCTGGTTATTTCTGGCCCGTCATAAACAAGCTCTGCAAGCATTTCCCATGTGTTTTCAATTAAATTTAAGTCTGGACTTCTTGCAGGCCATCCCAGAGTAGTTATATTTGCTTCACACATCCATTTTTCACTGATTTGGCCACATGGATGCTGCAGTTATCTTGCTGCAAAATAAAATTACTTCCATTTCTTTTTCTATGAGTGGTAAGGCTCCCTTTTCCAAAAGTTCTCTGTAGCTCAAGCTATTTTGACGTCCTTTTAACCACTCCAGCCACAAGTTTCCATTCGGAAATACCATACCCCAAACCATGACTCCTCCTCCTCTTCCCATCTGTCTCTTGTTGAGAATAACAGGTTCACCTTTTCTCGACCATGTATACCACCTGTCAGGTCCATCGAACTTAAAACGTTTTTCATCAGTAAATATCACTTTCTTGAAGCTGACATGGTTTGTTATGCATCTTTTGGCGCTTCCCAGCCTTGCCTCCTTGTGTTTTCTCGTTAGTGTAATTCTTGTCTTGATTTTAGCATACTTAAGTCCAATTTCATGTAGCTTTCTTTGTACAGTTCAAACACTGACGTCAAGTTCATACTTCTTTACTTTCTTCGCTGTCACCTTTTCTCCAAATGATAACAACCTTGTAACACTCCTCTTCATTCTTCTTTCTGTTCTCTTGGAAATTGTTTTTTTTCCGTCCTCTCTTCTTCCGCTCGTAGTCTGTACTGAGCATGTATTCAACTGTTGACTTCAGTAGCTTCATCTCAGCGGCGATCTTTCGGATGCTGAGCCCATCTCTCTTCTTTTGGACCAAACTGATGACTTCTTTTGAATGCATTCTTCTTCAGGATTTTAATACATTTTGCAGTGAATGGTAAAGATACTCAAATATAATGGTCAGGGTAAAAT